GTGTTATCTTTTGATTCTAATCGCTTTTTCAGAGTTAAGTGAAACTCGAGGCTCCAGTAGCGTTTTGAACGACTTTCATCATTTTTATCGCTAGATGAAATTCCTTCAATCTGTTGTGGGAAATTTTATTACAATTTGAAGTCCATTTTCTGGATGGCAAATTATTTCTGTTCAGATCTGATTCGATTAAATTCAAGAGTTCTGTTTACAAAATTTTGATTATTTTGCTTTGAAAAGCTGTTCAACTTGAGTGAACTATTACTTCATTGTTTATACACATTTATTACATAGTTTCTCGATGGATGATGGACCTTATTATTTTTGGGATCTGTTTAATTTTTGGATAATCGTGTAAACTGGACTTTTTGTCCTTTAAGCCTGTTCTAACTCGGGAACAATTGATGCTACAGAAATCAGGTTTGAACCATGAGCTTCCATAAGGAACCTTTCAAATTTCAATGAAAAACATGCTTGAAAACTATCTAGCAACTGATTCTCTTGAAAAAAGTTGAATAACATTGAATTGATAAACTACCAAGAATCTGTTTTTTGTATTCCAATTTCATGGTCAATTTTCCATGAAAGATCACATCAAGTGTGAATCTTTAAAACTCGAATTTTTAAAGAAAAATTGATCATCCATGCAATACGATCCATGAATTGAGCAATCGAGTAGTTTTGCTTTTAAATATATTGTCAAGTTTTCTGAGCCAATTTCTGGTCTTCTCAAGTCCCAGCTGCTTGCACTGAAGCTAGAATTTATTTTAAATTTGTTCGAAATTCGATATCATTTATGTTTCCATTTAGATATTGAAATTGTTTGAGTAAAGTTCAACAGTTTAACTGAGCAACTGATTCACTGAAGAGATGTGATCAATAGAAACTCATTTCCAACTTGAATTTCAACTCGACACTGAAAAGTTATTGTTGCGTCTTTAAAATGTTAAATGTTAATCTATTTTGGGTAAAATTAGATGATCATTAACTTGGAATCTTAAAAGGATTTCATGTTAAGGTAATCATGTAACTCAATTTGAAGCGAATCAAAGATTTTCCGTTGAAATAAACTTGATTTGTTGATTACAGGAAAAGTAGATAACATCTCATTATGGAAACGAGAAAAGACCAGAATTTCTATTTTTACGGTGAAATTGAATCAGACTATTAATTGAGCCGAAAATAATTGAAACTTGAAACAAAAAGATTCAACATGGAAACAATCAACTTCTACAATTTAATAATTCATCGAGTAAACAGAAATCACAAAAATGAAGTTTATATTTGATTAGTTTCATTAAGAGTCGAAAAAAAAGCAATGAAAAAACAGGAAAATTCACACAAAATCTCTTTACTGTTCATTAAAAATGTTGAACCAAATGTTGCATTATCACTGAATCATAATGATGCTAATAATGATAATAACAAGTATAATTTGTACTAATATGTTGCAGAATAATATCATGCTAATGAAGAGAATTGAAAAAGTAAAGAGAAAAAATTTCTTTTTTCTTTCAATTCTCTTTACCATTTTCGAATGAAATTTTCAGGGAAAAAAACTTGTTCCAAGTTGTTCAGTTGTAATGAAGGAAAACAAGTTCAGATGACAATGGAAAAAAATATTGACCAGAAAAGTTGCAAGGAAAACAAGATGAAGAATAATCTGTTGCTCGAAAAGAAAATGATAAACATGAAATTCTCATGATTCTCTGCGAATTGATAATGCGATTCTTTATTCCCATTGACAGCAATTGCTTCTGTTATTTTGTTCGAGGTTCAATAAATTTTCTGCAAGATTCCGAGTTCGTTTGCAAGTAAATTTATTATTCAATTGCCAATTCTGATTCTCAATCATTTCGATAATACAATTGTATATGTTGGAAAAAAAGAAGAAGAGCAACAAATCGGAGAAAATTTCTTTTCATCTTTTTCTTTGGTTCACTTTCGCTCTCATCAGTCAACTCTTAATACATTATATTCATACATATTGAAATGAGTTTCACCCAAAAAGTAGAAGAGAGCAAAACTTATTCACACTATTATCATCATTATCTTTCAACTTATTGCAATTCTAATGTTCTCTAAGGTATCTTTCGTTATTACCTTTTCTCTGGCTTCTCCTTCTTTCTTTACCTTTTATGGGTAAAATTGAAGGGGAAAAGGTACACATTTTTCATGGTTAAATGGACCAACCTTGAATGGATCAAGTTGAAAGTAAAGAAATGAAATTGGATCGTCAGGAAATGCAAGAATATATGAGCTGTTTATTCTGCCAGGGAAAAGTTTATCTCAAGAATAATTCCATCAATAAATTGTAAATATACTTGCAAGCGAAAATTGACAGAGGAAATGCTTTTCTCTTTCGACCGATCGTTTCAATAATAAATACAAATATTATACAATTTCCGTTTTAATCGTTTAATATTTGCAAATGAAACTTGAAAACTTTCGACTGTTTGAACTGTGCATTACCCAAGGAAAACTGTTGTTTAACCGAAACTTTTTTTTCCAATTTCTCGAGTTTGAAGTTTTCGAGGACAATTTCACATTTTCTGTTGATTCAATGTTACATGTTTTGATTGATTCACTGACGTTTATCAGCATTTTATGAGATGAACTTTGAATTTGAAAAGAATGGGCAAAATGACAAATCATATCCAATTTTATGGGAAATATATTTAAAGAGGATTAAATGTCTATGCAACTTTAATGCTATCAAATTCATATCATTTCTCATGATGAACAATCTTCGAATTCGTGAGATTTAAGATTTATTTTACCCTTTCTAGTACTTTTGTTGCCAAAGTTACATAAGCTCGAGTCATGGCGAATCTGAAATGGAATGTTCAGTCTTGCGGAAAAGTTTAATTTCCGTTTTCAGGTTTTAAGGTTGAAGATGAATCAGATCATAAATTTCATCAGAAATGTATTCAGATTAGATGATCGCATAATTGAACGACTTGAAACTGTCAACGAAAACGCGATAATTCATACTTTTTAACAACTTTGCATTTTAAGAATGATAAAGTTAATAATTCTAAAATTGAATTCACAATCGTAAATCATGATTACATTTTCGTTCGAGAAATTTTTCTAAACTAAAACGGCAAATTATTCCGTTGGTTAAATTGAGTTTTAATTTCATTTAAATTTCAACCAACTTTCTGCATCACTTGTTGCGACTATTAATTAAACTTTTTCAGTTATCTTTAACTCTTTAATCATCCATCATAGCGCCTCATTTAGCTTAATTTTTCACTTTTAATCTCACTTTAAATAATGAATTGGCTTTACTTGATATTGCAATTGGCTTTGTTGGTCTCAGAGTTGAGCCACTGGACCAGATATTTTAATGTTACATCGCAAGGTTACTTTGCATTATGATTGTAAAATTGATGGCTCAAGCTGTTGCATTGAATTAACTTCGTTTCATTTAAAACTGTAGTAAAATTTCATCAACAGTTAATCAAGTTTCAACTTTTTCCGCAAAGTTTTCCTTTCTTCTGAAGAGCACTTTCAACCTAGATTGATCCCTTATGCTTTATCCAGTTCAACCGAGCAAATGATTGGCTAAGTTTACTGTACGAGCAACTTGTTGGGCCAATGAATATGACAAAAAGTGTGAAATCTGAGGATATTTTTGTCCAATTGCACTTCAATGAACTAATGGAATTTGAAAGAGAACGAAAAAAAGAGGAAAAATGTTGAAACCAAATGTTGCTAATGATGATCATTTCATTATCTGATGATGTTATCAACTCGTTTCCTTTTCATTCACCAGCTCATTTCGAGTTAAGTTTACTTTGGAGACTTTCAGAAGACTATTCAATTAGCCAGGTGAAATGTTATTCCTGGTTGAGCTCAGGTTTAAAGAGAGCAATAAACGAAATTAAAGTGAAAATTTATTTCAACTTTACATTCAAATTTAATAATTTAATGTATGAATGATGAAGACGATGTGATGGGCAAAGCTTGAAAAGTGAGCAAATTTTGCACAGATGATATTTGATATAACCTAACCAGGAAATAAAAGTCTCTTCATATTCATTTTCATCTCATGAGCCTTTTCATTTTTCATTTGCTCGTCTCATCAAGAGAAATGAAGGAGAAGTTTGACCTTTCAAATGAAACAAACAAACAAGATGAAACCAAGTCTAAAGTTACACCATTAAACAAGGGAATGAATGAAAGTGTATTGAAAAGGACGAAGTAACGTAAAACAAGAAATTTTTTTTCTCTTCACTCGATTCTGAATTCAGGGCAAGAGAAAAGATGTTGCATGGAAAAAAAGGAAAATGAACAGAAAAAAGGTTAAACAAGATTATCTTTCATTTAGTTTCATGTAACAACAAAGCAAATACTTTTAAAGCAAAGCAAAAGTATTTACTCAAAACTGGAAACATTATCATTTGAGGAGCCAAAACTCATGTTCAATATTTAATCCATTGAAAATGTTCTGTTGAAAGGAATCATTTGAATCTTAATTTGTTGACATTTACTCGATGAATAAGTAAAGAAATGCAAGAAATGCGATTATGATGAATGGGAATGAAATGAAAAACTAATAACTTTGTAACATTAGAACAATATTTGATGGGAAAACATGATCGTTCAACTTGAACAAGGTTCATGTTGTATACATTTCTGGGTAAAAGCTCAAGTGATAACATAATGAATGCACAGGATTGACCGAAAAAAGATGTTAATTTGATTGTTCAATTTGAGAATAAAAGTTGCAGTTAATCAACTTTATCTTGACAATTGATCGTCAAAAGACAAAAGTTTTTTTCTTCTGAGCTTTTTTTTCGTTTTCCTGACTCATGGAAAGACTGAGGTGGAATTGATGAATAAAACTGAAGAAAAGGTCTTGTAAACAAATCGGAAGTTAGATATGTTTAGAAGAAGAAAATGTTTTTTCTTTCTCTGTTTTCTGAATTTCCTTTTCATCTTAACTGTTGTTTGGTTGCTTACAATTTCTCACTTTCGTCTTCTTCTTTACACAGATTATCACTTGGATCCATCTGAATAGGAAATGGGTGAACTTGGAGGAGGAAAAGTTGGAGAAACAAAAAGATTCTAATGATGACGATTATCATTTTATCGGCAACAATAGAAGCAGCAATAAACTAATTTGTGTTTCCACAAAAAATCAACAAGGAAATGAGCACTTGAAATGTGTGTTGTGTGTTCAGAGTTTCCAAAGAATTGGGGAAAAAGTTCAATTATCTGCTAATAATACTAATGCTTGAAGAGAGAGTAAAGGCCAAAATTGGGAAAAGAAAAGTTGAAACGTTGAACGTTTTTACTCATATTCAGTTGGAACCATTTACTCTCTGAATCTTGTTGTCTTCCCATTAAATGATTACAACAGGTTGAAACAACTCTACTTATCAATTATCGATACAATATTTACATGCAACACTTTTCCCTGACATTGTTTTCCATTCACTTTTACCACTCAAAATCCAAAGGCTGGGAGTGAAAATGTTATCTTGAAACACAGCAAGATTGTGATAAGTGTTCAAATGGTGAATCATGAACCATCCATGGAATGAAAAAGATTTTCGTGTTTCTGTGAACAATTGGATTAAAAATTTCTACTCTTGTGCCATCATTGTGAACAGTCGAAAGTGAATTTTAAAAGTCAAGTTCTCATCGTTTGCCATTGTTGGTCCAAAGCTCAACCTATTTTTTGCCCTTCTTTTCGCTTCTCTTTCATCATGAGTTCGACTTCAAGTCAACCTTCAAGCACACCTTTGCCCGTCACGGTGTCGACCTTTTCATCAAATGGCGACACTGAAATGGAAACTTTGCTAGGGTTGATTAAAAATCTTTCCCTGCTCGACTTTTCGATGGTCAATTTGTCCAATAGTGGGCTGATTAGTTTAAAAAATTATACTCTTTTCAACAACATAACTCTTTCATTGGACATTGAAAAGCCGTTTGCAAGGCGAACCGAACTGGACGATGATTACCTTGAACATCGCCCGGCACTCCAAGTATTCTTTTATTGCCTCTATGCGCTAATCTTTCTCGTCGGAATTTGTGGCAACACACTTGTTTGTTATGTAGTCTTTCGTAACAAGCAAATGCACACCGTGACAAACCTTTTCATCACCAACCTGGCTTTATCGGACATCTTGTTGTGCATCTTTTCCGTGCCCATAACGCCCTTGTATCTCATTTTTTACAAGGAATGGGTCTTCGGTAGGATATTGTGTCACCTTGTTCCCTATGCTCAAGGAGTTTCCGTGTACATTTCAGCATTCACCTTAATGTCCATAGCAATTGATCGATTTTTTGTCATCATTTATCCCTTTAAACCGCGAATGCGAATCAACGTTTGCCTAACCATAATCACCTTTGTCTGGATCTCGGCCGCTCTCTTGACCCTTCCATACGGACTTTTTGTTAAAATGGCTTCTGATCAAGATGAACGCTGGTTGTGCGACGAGTTTTGGCCCGTTGAAGAGTCACGTAAAGCTTTTGGCTTTTCAACCAGCGTGTTACAGTTTGTTATACCTTTTACCATAATAACCTTTTGTTATATTCGAGTTTGCGGTAAACTTCGAGATCGAGCTCGATCCAAGCCGGGAGAAAAGTCGGTTAAAAAGGATGAAATTGAAAGGGAACGAACCAAGCGAACTAATCGCATGTTGATAGCCATGGTGGCCATATTTGGAATCTCGTGGTTACCCTTGAATATACACAATTTGGTCACTGATTTTTATATTCCAGCCTCAGAGTGGCGATACTTTAAGCCTTTCTTTTTCCTTGTCCATGCCGTGGCCATGTCGTCCACCTGTTACAATCCCTTTTTATATGCGTGGTTGAATGAAAATTTTAGAAAAGAGTTTAAACAAGTTCTTCCCTGTTATACCAATTCAGGGCCACCCTTTTCCTATCGTCGAGGTACTTCGGTTGCCGGTGCCGGCCTTTTACCAGCCAATGGGCAAGAAGGTGAAGGTGCCTGTAAAACGAATGAAACCATGTTAATCGGTAATAATCGAGATTCAGCCAAATCAGACAAAACTTGTAACGGCCATGAGCTTATCCATCGTACCTGTGATTCACAAAAATCCTGCCTCACCGCTGGTCAAGATGAGAATGAGCAAGACAATGATGATGATGAAAAGCGACCAATAACAACAGCAACCATGGAAACTAAACTGGGTAAAGAGATAGTTTCAATGCCAACCTCGTTACCGTTGAGTCCAACAAATACAATGTCTAGTTTAACGACAACGCCAACCACCAAAACTGTGGAAGGTTCACTTTTCTCGGACCAGCTCAATACCAAGGAAGAGTTTAATCGCGAGTCAATCGAGTTGACTGAGCAACAACAGTGTTCAAACAAAAAAGTAAACCCAAGCTGTTCACTGTTGGGCACACGAGCGGTAACCTCATTGACTTACAATTCAGACTCTGATACCGTTCGATCAGCTCTCGGTGATTCAGTTGCTTCTCAAGTTGTGTAGCTGTGTGAACCAAGTGTCGACTCAATCTCAAGCTATCGTCAAGTGATACTCGGCCAACGAGGTGAAAAGTGAAACGCGGCTAGCGTCAATGATAGTATTTTACGCCAACTAACGTTATATTTACTCGCAACTCGAGTTTATTTGTTTTGTTTTCGCTTCTCGTTCTCGAATCTGTTGATAATCGCAGATATTCACAAATGTTCAACATTTATTTCCATTTTGTGACAAGAATAAAAATTGTTCATCTGTTGTACAGTTATTGATACATAAACGCAATTAATATTATTGTTAATACCGACAAAACCAATAAATGTCTATAGCTTATTATTGAAACATTTTTGAAACACTTTGTAAACTCGATTAATCAAATCATTTTTTATTTCATCTTTCATTGTAACACATTTTGTGGATCCCATTGAAAGGTTCAATTTGTGCAGGTTTGAGTTTTGCCAAGCAAAAGGACAACATGGTCGTTGAGGGTGAAATGATTGATTGAATAAATGAATAAAGTTAGGCTTTTTGGGAACCCTTTTAGAATGCTATGTTTTTAGAAGACGAGAAAATGGATTTTTACCTTTTTCTAGTCAAATTTTTACACTTGAATATCTTTTTGCAAATCTTTTTTTTGCATAAAATGCATCTTACATAATCATACAGCAAATTGAACTTTATCATACAATTGAACTTTGTTCCTTTTCAGGAATCATTTTTCCAAATGGACTTCATTTGGTACATGCTTAATGAACTTATTGTACAATCGGTACATTCAATTGAGATAAGATCATAGGGTTGGGTTGGAAAGACAAGGTAAGTAAAGGAAGAGAGACCTTTGTCGTAAAAGAGTTCGACGGCTGACGAATCGAAAAACAGGTCAACAGAGAGTTGAGGACTGGGTAAGATACGGGAACCTCGAATTAATTTGGTAAAGTCGGAAGAAAAGTTTGTCAGCCCGGATTGACTTCGATCTACTTCGATTCGGAGATTGTCCAAATTCATAGTCACCTGTTCGCTGCTTGCTTGGTTCATTAGTTTTATTTTGACGGCACCGAAACTTGTACGGTTAGATTTGAAGCTGCACTCTAAATGGTATCGATCTGAGTTGTGCTGGATGGCCAATGATTCAGTTACTGGTTCACCTTTGAATTCGTATAAAAGGGATTCTCGCAAGTTTTTAACGTCGTCGATGGGAAAGGTTTGCACATGATAATCATTATCACTCGTCTTTACCAATTCCATGGATCGAGGTAGAGTCATCTGTCCTCTCCATGGTGTGGTTGGTTCATTGGCAGCATAGTTCCAGTTGTTCATCCATGCAACCATGGTTGGTTTGGGTGAAGGAATGTTGGTGTACATAGCGGCAGCATAATTGTCTGGACCCCAGTCTAACCAGAGAACTCGATCGGCTGGGTTTTCATTTATGAATCGTGTTCCATCAAAAGTTCCAACAAAGTATTGGGTTGCTGAACCAACAGTTGGACCTCCTGGATTAATGCTTATTAACAGTACCCAAAGCTCACGACCATCGACCTCAAATCGTATCAAAGCAGGACATTCCCAGACACCTCCATGTGAACCTTGACTTGGCTTCTCTCCGAAACTACTCAAATAGGTCCAATCAATTAGGTTGGTTGACTTGTAAAACATGGCTGCATCACCAGCGGCAAGTGACATGATGTAACCATCGCCGTATTTAAGGAGAGCAGGATCACGGAAATCGCGTTTTGATGGGTCAACCAGGATTGGGTTATTTTCATAATTGTTGAATGTTATACCATCGTAGCTGTAAGCCAAGTGCTGGGTCTGTGGAGTTGGTGATGAGTCGTTGCTTCGAGTAAATATTGCAACCAAAACATTTGAATTTGCCGTTTTCTGGAAAAGTATTTGGAAAATAAATGATTAATAAATTGTTTGGATAAAGGACGAACAAATTAACTGCAATTCTCTCAATTTTTAGACTGTCTTTTCATTGACAAAGCTTTTTGTAAAAAAACATTGAACTTTGGTTTTCAGTTCGCCCATCAAACTCAGATGATCAAAAGACCAGAAAAATAAATGCTTTATCTTTACTTTAGGTAATTTTATCAACTAACAAATTGTAAGTGACCATCAATGAGTGAATGAAAAGACATAAAGATTCTGTAGTCATGGCTTGGATACAAATGTGAACTTTTCATTTGTTCAATTATTATCATAATTAGGAAATGAACAAAAAAAGCAAGTAAACTGATTGGCGAACAAAGTTCATTGATAACAATTCTCAGTTGGACTTTTTCAGTTTTGATGATAAAAAGTGGTGAATCTTGAGCAGCCTCTGATTGTGAAAGGGAAAGAGGAAACAATAAAGGTTAACTTTATCAATTGATATTGGTTGAACCGTTATGGCTAGAGGAAGATGAATTGGTTTGGACAAAGGGTGAGAAATGAAAGAGAAGTAAAATGATCTCAAAATGGGAAGAAAAACAAAGAATAATTTAGTTATCGAGAAATTATTCTGAGGACATTTATTGTATTGACCTTGAACTGGTAAGACAGTAAAGTGAGTGAGATTAGATAATATTATTAGATGGGAGATGAAGGAAAATGATGATGATGAGCAAAAAGAATGGAACAGATTATTGATTATCTTCACTCAATTGATCAATGGAAACAATTTACTATTTTCAATTGAATTGGGTTCCAGCACATTGATTACAATGTTATTGGGTTGTCTATTTTGCTTCTGGTAAACAGTTGCAGCTTTCATCAAATGAAATAAACATAACAATAATAATGGCAGCAATAACCGAAAGCGATATAAACAAATACAATTGAAATAACACCCAAGTAAAGACAAAAACTTTTAAAGTGAAAAGTGAAAAGTTGAAAGTCAATTCAAGTGAAAAGACAGTCAAGAGTCAATTGGTGTAAAAGGAGAGATGAGAGTTGACAGTCTTACCTGAAGACCAGTTATGTTGGTTGAGTCAATGACAGCCGAGCCTGAAAAGGCTGCTCCACCTGGGGCAGGATACAAGGCAATGGGCTCATTTTCCCACCGTAAAAGGTCACTCGATGTAGCATGGCCCCAGTGCATAGGACCCCATACCAGTGAGTCTGGATGATATTGATAAAACAAATGGTATTTACCATTGGAATAAGTCAATCCATTTGGATCGTTGATCCATGAAGTTGGAGGTGAAAAGTGATACTGAGGCCTCCACTTTTCCCCATAAACTTTACTCTCGGTGTTCCCTTGCATCGGCATTCCTTGGATCAACTGAATTGTATCAAGTGAAAAATCACTTAGCAGGATAATCAATGTTATCCAAGAATAAACCAATTTGTTTACCATATTGTCCTTGTGTGTTCCAGTTTATTGCTTAGATAATCACAATTTACACTTGATTATGAATCAAATATTTGATAGCAAACTAGTGTTTACAAAACGTATTTTCTGTCTGTGTGTGTGTAAGGTTGAATAAAGTTTCTTTTGAAAGTCATAAAACAAGATTAATTAGAGGCGACTTTTTATGCTGTAAATAACGAAGTCAACTTTTACAACTTTTTACATTAAATGTTATTGCTTGTTGAACAAGAGTAACAAAAGTTGACGTAAAAATATTCAACTTGTTAATGGTTAATTATGGTTTATAATGGATGTAATGAGATGAGCATAATAATGTTAATGTTAATGATGATCAACTGAAACTGAATGTAAATGGTAAATTGAAAGAAACTGTAAAGGTAAATTCAACTGTCATCTGAATCAATATGAACGGGTTAACAGATGAAACGAAATTTAATGATCAACATTTTTATATCAAGCAAACTTTTCATTATGCAATTGATTGCAAATAACAAAATAGTTAATTATTAGAGAGGAGGAGTTGATAGACATTGATAACATTAAATGTATTATTATTTTTCCAAATTTCAGATAATTTCATCTTCTGTCTAGTTTTCAGTCAAATTGGTAAACATTTTTTTTCGTTGCTCAAAAAAGGGTTATTGTTCCATGAAAAGTGAATACGGAAGGAAAAAAGAAATGAATTTATTTGAAAATCTCGTAAAATTTAGATAACTTTTGGCACCAATGTTGTTTCTCCATGAATTTTCCATTCTTTTATTATCTCCTCACCATTGTTCTGTATCAGTAATCAGAGTTTTGGTTCTGTTCATCTGATGATACACTTTCTGTGATAACTTTTATTTCCAACGTAATTATCGATTTCCATGTAAAGCTGAACAATCATTTGCTTTGCAATTTTAAACTTTATTTGTTTAGTTTTTCTTGCAAACCATTTAAAATTGCAATTTCAACCTGAATTACATGATATTTTTTTCTGACTAAACATTTGATTTCTCTTTTTTTTCTCCATTCTAATGGAATGAAAATTAGATGAAATGTTATCCAAAAAAGCAATTTAAATCAAACAGTTGATCAATTAAGTGACTTGAACCACCTTGCTAATGATTACAGGGTAAAGGATGAACCAGTGAGTGGGTGATGATTATGGAGTTAATAGGGAAAACAGGGTTTTTAATGTCAATTAGATCAACATAAAGTTAACCATGAAATGAAATTAATTTGATTTTTTGTTTCTCTAGTCTTTTATGTTCATCCAATTTCATCTTTTATTCAATTTTTATTTACTTTCACTTTGTTTCCAAATGAACTTTTAAATTGCTAATTTCAACCGAAAATTAATATTGTATCTGATGAGCAACAATTGAATTTATCTCGAGTTTTCATGAGAATTGAAAAACTTTTGTCCATCACATTGGGTGAAAATATGTCATTTAATATTGAGTTTGCCTTATTGATCTTGCGAGCTTATATAAACTTGAAATGTCAATTTATTGAAATGCATGACTGTTGCAAGTCTAATGTCATGATAAGCCAATGAACATTTTTTTCATTTTTTTTCTTGAATTCATTTTTTTCCATTAAGATACAATTCATACACAAGTGAACATTTCAATTGGAATTGATTTTTCTTACTTCATTGTCCAGTTTCGTAAGTCCAGTAAGTGAAAACAATTTTGTTTGGTTATTGAAATCAGAAAAACAAAAAGTAAATCAAAAAGAAACAAAAATTGATCAAAATTGATTTTCCATCATTTCTTTTTCATACACTTCATAACAATTTGATTTGCAATGAAATTCTGATAAACTTCGTGTGGGTAAGAAGAATGTTTAATATACTGACTTTAATGAAACATCATGTGAACCTGTTGGGTTAACTCTTCAGTTGAATTTCCCTTTAGATTCCGTTCTCTACCCACAATCACAGTTTCATTGTTTAATCGAGATAATTGGTTGAGAAACAAAAATCAAGAGCAATCGCCATTTTCAATGTCGTCGAGATAAAATCTTTGCTGATTCACAGAATTATCCTGAAAATTCATGCATTAGCAGAATGGGCTAGTAGTGCAAACAAAAACCACAAGAAACTATTCGTCATCTGCGTGGACCAAACGAGAAAAGAATCTTTATCTTTATAATTCCATTGAATTTTATTTGCAGTCTTACTCATTGTTTCTTGTGTTCAGATAATCTCCCGATCAATTCCATGAATCTCATGGGTTGCACCCATGATTATCAAGGTTTTGGTGTTTTCCATTTCCAACAAATCAATTTCCATTCAGATAACAAATCATGTAGACAGTTCTGATTAGCTCAACTAGATAATTCAATATTTAGTTACATTTGTCATTTCTCAGTTTTCTTACAAAACTTTTCCATCCAAACATTATGCATTCGGCCAACACTTCAGTTGACTTTTTTTGCATTCAATCAATTAGCTCATTTCAAGTCGAGTATCCAATTTGTTGTCTAATAGTTTAATAATAAATGAGAAAATGCAATAATTTTCGTTAAGAATCGCAATTTGTGTCAAACATTGACTTCTTTATTCAGTATTTATCACCACGTTATTAACAGCAGCTAAAAGTTCCACTTGTATTTCCATTATTAAAGGGATAAATTTACTGGGTTACCAATTAGATACTTGATTCATTTGATTAATCAAATGACTCGATGTATCCTTGAACAATCAAGAGTGATGTAAAGAAAGGAGGGAAAAAGATGTTGATAAAAAAAACAGGATCAATGGGCCATAGAGAGTGTTTTATCATCACGCGTTTTGAATACAAGTTGATTACGAATTGATATAACTGTTGATAGTAGATATTGTTTCAAGTTAATCAAGTTTCACAGTTTATCGTAATCATTGAATTCTGATGAAGAGCAGAAATGGAAAGGATAAAAAGAAGGAAAAAACTGCTGAACCAGTAAATAGTAAATAAATAGTATTATAAAGTAAGGTTCGATATTAATGTTTATATTGGCTGGATATTCATTGCAAGCTGATCAACAAGACCAACAAATTATCGTTAACAAGGTAACAGTTTTTTGTAATCTTGTTAAAAGGTGTTACAAATCAACAAAGTAAGGCAATAATATATATAATCATGATGATGGACTTCTCTCCATCTTTTTTGTATCATTTTACTGCTAACAGAACTGCAAGATATAATTGAATATAATTGATGAAGCTGAGTAAACACTGTTTATAATATTGTATTAATAAGTATAATAATGCTCAACATAACAATGGTAAGTGCGAAAAAAAGAAATCCCTTTTGAATAGTTGGCTGATGGGTTGTCTGATGAATCGAGAAAGGTAAAAGTGAAAATTGGTCGAATTGAATTAAGGGTTCGAAGGGCGATTTTGTTTCAACTGACCATGGTCTTGTCATTGATGATCATGATGTTGAGGTGAAAAAACCTTTCCTCTGGTCTCTCTATTTATTGTTTGTATTTGCGTTCATCTGTTGTTGATATAAGGTTCGATTGTGAGGTGAACACTCACAGTGAGACTGCAACACTTTTTGCTACTTTCATCTTGAGCAAATAATGTTTCATCAAAGCATTTGTTGTTATTTTTCTTTGCCTATTCCATCATCTGGTGTTTTGATGAAAAAAAAAGAATTGTTGAGTAAACAATTGATCAATGATGATAATGGATATTATCATTACCAGAGGAAACCTTTAATACTGGGATGAATTTGATGAACACAATAACTGGACATCTTTGCACTTTGTTTTTCATCCTGCCAATATGAAGGTTTCTTGCGACCTTATTTCATTCATCGCCAACATTTTTTGGCTAAATCCAGGAGAAACTCAATCATCTGAATATTCCAATGATTAAAGTTGATTTGGTTCTTAACAAGAATTTCTGATGTATCTCCGTAAGTCGCAAGTACAGAACCATGTTTATTGATGCAGGATGCAAATCGAATAGGGGAAATTGTCTATCGTCAAATCAGTTTAATTCATAAATCAGAGACAAATTTTAACTACGAAAATAAATTCGGTAATTGTATAAATCAAACCGTTAGCAAGAAACGAGATCACTTTAAAAGCACAGTACATATCTATGAGTGCCAAAAGTAACTTAAAAGTAAAATTAATCATAATTAAGCCCTTTGCTTGATTGTGCGGAAACACGGTAATCCTCTTTACTTTTTTAATCTTAAAATCTTGTTACCGGAAGCAAAATAATTAACAAATCTATTCTAACTTAGGTGAGACACTGCGAATGTTGAGTAGCAAACTGTTGTAATTTGAATCGATTATTCCAAGAGACTTACAATATAGTTTAATCTTGTTTTGGGAATAATTGGTAAAATCTTTTTATGAACACTTCATGACAATTTTTGGTTCATTATTTTCTCACTCAATGTTTCAATTGATTAGATTCTCAGTTGGATTCAAGAATTAAGAAAGAAAAACAAAACGTTGAATCAATCATTTAACTCCTAATAATCGAGAAGAACAGTGTCCATTATTCCATTTTTCCTGTAATTGATTGAATAGTGAATGCAAGTAAACTAGAAGGTGAAGTATTAGTTTAAACTTTCGATCTTTCGATGACAGAACCGACAATTTTCCAGCTCAATCTTTGCATCGAGAAAGATTAAATGCTCTGGCTTTTTATACCTTACCCCTTCGACGCGTATAACTTCTGAATAAAGAGGTTTTGACTCAACACATAAAGTCTCAAGTAATCAAACGCTCCCATTTATTCATAATTCAATTGTTCAATTATCGCTTATTTCAAGAGCAAGTCGTTAAAAAGTAAGCTGAAAAATTGGCTTATTCATGCAAATTGTCCAACAAAGTGAAAGTTTAATGGACACTATTGGTCAAAATGTTTTTCCTTTGGTTGCGAAAGATGATTTATAACCAATAAAGTTGAATGCTGAAACAACATTTAAGGCAGACATTTTCATTGCTCGACCAGCGTTACTTTGTTGCTTTATTCAAAATTGACCCTCTATTAATAGTCTCACCTTGCCGATTATTTAATCTGATGTCTGATTGGATTTTTTGGTCTTCTTTCTCTTTTTATCCATCTCTGTCTACTTATTGCCAAACTTGATTATATTGATCATTTGATCAATCAATGAACATAAAATGATGCTTCATTTAACACTCATTTGGGTTGAATTTTATTTCTTTTTCTTGTTTCTTCATCATCATCATTTCACCCATGATTATTGAGCATCCAATCTTTGTCATTTGAACGCAAAAAAGGAAGAAAAAGTTTCATTATAATCAAGTAAATATTGTTAAAAATCATTGCATTTCTTTTTTTCTGTTCTGATGTTGATGTATCACTCTGTCTGCTTGTTGATTACCCTTTGATTATACAATTTTTTGCCTTTCATCTTCTGTTTATTGCTTTTACTTTCTGTTGTTTTGACGTTTTGTATTTCGCCTT